AAATGGCGCGAGGGCAAAAACAAATATATTCTATAATATAACTCTATATATATATATATATATATGAGATATAAGTGAAAAAAAAATTTATTAGCAATTAATATTATTATTATTATTTAATATTTTATGATTCAAAAACATATTCGATCTCTGATAACTGCATCCTTGCATCCTTATTATAGTGTGTGTGTGTGTGTGTGTGTGTATGCAAATATGCTCGATTTAAAAATATATATAAATGATGTTCTCCTTTATACTTAACAAATGTATGTATATATGTATGTACGTGTGTATGCATGTGTGTATGTATGTGTGTGAGAGAGACAAACATTTAATGTGAGATAGATGGTCACCTAAAATTATGATCCTAAAATTTGCGCAAGAAAAAACTATGTTTTTATGATGCTTTGTACTGAAAAATAACCGGATGCGATCAGTCTTTTGGAAAACACTGAGTTCATCTCGTGCACATTGCTATTGAAGAAGAACTTTTGTATTCTTATATGGAGAAAAATACTTGCTTAGCTTAATGCTGTGTCCGAACGTTCACATATGGAATTTATATATACATGGAAAATAGAGCTGTTCAGAAAACCCCTATTATTTATAAATATATATGATACACATACGTAGTAGTAGTAGTAGTAGTAATAGTAGTAGTAGTAGTATTAGTAGTAGTAATAGTAGTAGTAGTAGTAGTAGTAGTAGTAGTAATAGTAGTAGTAGTAGTAGTATTACATTTCTATATATACATAAATATATACATATATATATATATACACATTTAAGTAGACATACATATATATACGTATATAAATACATATATACAGTGCATGCGTTTTAAAAAATTGTTTTAATAATTATTATCTTATGAAAAAATTTAAAATAAATGCACGAGTTTCTGTTGTTGTTTTTTTTTCTTTCTTTTTTTTTTTTTATGCAGCAGTAGATATATATATATATACCTGTTATTATTAACGTCTGCATAAACGCGTTTATACTTAACATTCTTAGATATTGTAAAATAATGTATAAAGGGATAAAGAGGAAAACAAAAACAAAAAAAAACAACTCATAATGAGTTTTAAAAGGAAAGAGGAGGATGTTGATCCAGAGGGTCCAGAACAGCTCTGACTTTAGCGACAAATAATTTGTTCGATTCAACTGAAATCTAAAAACTCACTACTTTTGGTATAGCACTACGGTAGGCTGGAATTTAGGCTGTCTGGTAAACGGTAGTTTATCATATGATATGGTGGGCTTGCAGGACTTTCAGGTTGACTGTTAACTCCAAGATTGCTTGAACCACGTCCACGTTTTCGCCTTTGTAAAATCCCCTTCCTAACCATATAGAAACGAATCGTACTGATTGGTATATTGTATTTCTCAGATGCAACTTGAAATGTCATGCCACGTGCAACCATGTCAGAAGCTTGTTTGAGTTCTTCTTCAGAACGCCTTTGTCGTCTTTGATAGCCTAGAAGATCAATGAATAATAATAATATTATTATTATTATTATTAATATATATATATATATATATATATAAAGAATATAAAAGATATTTGTATGATGAAATCTTTTAATCGATACTTCTTTGTTACCTTCTATAGCAGGATACGGACTGCTGGGATTGCTGCAGTTACTACTATTTCGTACCATAGTGATGGAATAAGGTTTGACATCTTGTTGTTGAGAAAATTGTTCGTCTGGTTCCATTTTAACCATCCCCTGAGTTTCCGTAAGAGTAGCTTCGCAAGCGCTAAGGGCTTTTTCCAAATGCTGTAATGCTTCACTGTGTTCCATAAAATTAGATGAATTTGGATTTTGAGAAGTTGGAGTATTATTATCTTGAGATGTAACATTTCCTGTACTAGATCCAGGAACTGAGGTAGGCTCCATAAAGCTTGAGCTTCCTTCGTCGTTAGATGGAACGTCTTCTGGTTTGTATTGAGATATATCCGGTTGAGTTGGCGTTGATGGAGTGGCTGGTGGATTAGAATCTTGTTGTGAGTTACTCTCAATTGAAGAGCTATCACTTCCCTGAGTGGATAAGCCACGAACCTGATAATTAACAATGTTTTTGTTTGTTTGTGATGTGTGTTTGTTAAACTTAACTTCATTTCTTCTCATTTATTATCTTAAATATAATTCCATATGATATTATTTATTCCCCATACCTGTAAAACTTCTGCAGCTTGCATCAATTTAGCAAGCTGTTGTTGTTCAACGTATACTTCACCACGATACATAAATTCAACCAGTGCTTGAAGTTCCCACATTCTCATATCTCTCAGAAAAACAATAGGATGAGTACACGGAATTTCTAGCAACAAGCGTTCTAAATAATCGCTACAGGCAGATAATACCACTTTATGACATTTTATAGAACCACCATCACAAGCTAAAGTAACATCGACGAATTGTTCCGAGCTCAATAACTTTGGAAAAGCACTGTGCATGTTCGACTGATGAGAATTCCATGATACACAAAATTGTTGTCGATTACCACCAGGGTAATTGCCTGGACTAGGCAAATTACTTCCACTTTCCATGATTGTAGTATGATAACTTGAAGGAAGCCTGTCAAAGCCAATTATAAATCAATTAAAACAGAAACTATATATTAAATAATAATTATTAATAAATTATAACGCTTTTCTTATAAACCTTAATGATTAATTAATTGTACATTTAAAATATATTCACTTATCGAACACAATATGATTCATGTAATTTATAACCAATGATTAAATGTATTTAAAGTGTATGTAAATACATACATGATAGTAGTAAAACTAAAAAACATGAATTGTAACTTAAGTCAATACAATTTTATTATCAATGAATCTAAAGTTAACAGCTTATAACAAAGGAATTTATGTTTCTTTAAATAAGAATTAAAAAAAAAAAAAAAACACATCACAAATGTCACATTACAAAAAAAAAAACACTTTTCAATATATAAAGTACTTTGTAATAGGAAAACAAAAATAAAACACACATATCTCTATCTTAAATGAAATGAAATGAAATGAAATGAAATAGAAAAAAATGAATAAAATAAAACATATAAATTAACATAATCGATTGTATTATAAAATATGAACAAATATTAACATTTCTTATAACATATTTCGCGTATAATATTATTTTTAATATATGATAAATAGATTATTTTTAAGATGAGAGAGAAAGTGAATACTCATAAACAAGAATAGGTTAACGAGAAACGCGGCAGCATCGTTATAAAAATTTACAATATGGCTGTCGATTATATGAGAAACTGTAGTAACAACAATATATATCAAACTACACTTAGATATAGATTATTCTTAAGTTATATAAAATGTGCAACTAACTCTTTATTCAAATTAGAATTTATAATCACGTTTAACGCGATTAACAAACCAATGGAAATTTATTATAACCGTACCGGAAAAGACTAGTAAGAAAAATCTATAAGGAACGTTAGTTGAAGCATGCAACAAAACAACAAATCAGTCCTTTATATATAAACGATATAAATTCCCATAAAAATAACTTTGAAATGAAAGCTCTACTTGCGCGGCATTTATCGTAATCACGTGTTCAAAGCGTACCAGCCGACAGGTTAACCGAAGAATTTGTGACGTGTGTGTGCGACGCAGCCAATTTTTTTGTTAATTGAAAAATGGTGAAATCTTTGTGGGAGACGCTGTCGGCGTGAGTACCATCACCCCCCAGGAACGCCTTGAACACAAGTATCACGTTTCTTCTTAGTTTATGAAACCAAAGTGATATGAATCGAAGAATATCTAATCGCCACGATAAACGTTTTATTTTAATGAAATATATTTCACTCACAATTCTAAGCCTCAGATGACTCCTCTTATAATTTCGCGTCGGTTTCGGGAAGAATCCCTTAAGAAAACATTCATCCGTCGAGATTTGCACTAGCTAGGGGAGCTGAAACGGAAGGGTGGGGGTAGTAAGACTGGGGGTAGCTTAGTGGAACACTAGCGCACCTTACGACATTATTATCAACTAATCCCGCCATTGCATAGTTACTAAAATTTCGATGAGCTATAATATCTCAATTAATTTCATTTTCTTTCGTTATTATTATTTAACATGATCATTATACCACGATACAATTTATATATGTTAGATTTGATCGATAAATTCAAGTAATATGATTCATTTTCCATATGCAATTTTATCTACGTACTATGCGCAAACGTCATTGCGCAGAACAATAATCAAAATAATTTTAAGAATTTTATGAACAAGTACTTGTAACTAAGAACGTATTAAATCTTTCTTATTCATTTTGCATAGTCAAAGATAATATACTATTTTTAATCATTCATTAAAAATAACAAGTTATGTTATAATATAATATTATAGAGACAATATAAACAATATTTCTTACATGATTATACCAATTTGAAATTTACCAATAGCAATCCTTGTCAAACAATTATGAAAAATATTACATTTTATTTACGCAATATAACGAAATAACGTTTTATTATACTCGAATTATTATTCAAAATGTGTAATATATTTTTTATAAGTCATAACAAACGATAAAATTATTAATTTTTATAAATATCTCGAAAAGATTATTTTATTATTGAGCGTGATAATGAAAAAAATATTTCAACCAATCAGAACGAACGTCAATTCTAATTGGACATTTGTGCATTCAACCATAATAAATTAATTTACTTACTTAAAAATGCTTATTTGTGATTAGTTATAAAAAAAAAAAAAAAAAAGTGATAAATTTGTATAAACTGCATAAAAATTATTGATGAAAAAGCAGACTGTACAAAACTCACAAAGCAGACATAAACTTACTAAATAAATACAGAAGTGATCGTACCATCTAGTAATCAAATTGTTTAAATCTTGCAACGATTTTTCATGAACACAAAAATATATATGTACAATAATATAAATATTATTAAAAATACAAAAATAAATAATTGGTGCTTTGTGTAAAGTGTTTTTTATAAAAAAAAAAGAAATTTATTAAGATCTAACATTATTATTCCAACTGTGTAATCAAATATTAATAATAATGTCAAAAGTAACAGGTTATGATACACACGATGATGGTCCTGGGTTTGTAGGAATCAGATTTTGTCAGGAATGTAATAATATGTTATATCCAAAAGAAGATAAAGAAAATAAAGTACTCATGTATGCGGTTAGTATAATTTTCTTGTCTTTAAATTAATTATATAATTGTAATAATTAACTAAATCAAAATAAAATTACTAAATTTTCAGTGCAGAAATTGTGATTTCAAACAATTAGCTGATAGTAATTGCATATATGTAAACAAAATTATGCACGAAATTGAGTAAGTAATATTCTATTTCTATTTTTTAAAAAAGGTTTATTATATATAATTGATTTTATTGTTATAAAATAATATATTCTTTGTTTTGTTTATAATTTTAGTGAATTGACACATATTGTGGCTGATGTTATATCTGATCCTACTTTACCAAGAACAGAGGACCATCCGTGTCCTAAATGTAATCACAGGGAAGCTGTATTTTTTCAAGCTCAAACTAGAAGAGCTGAGGAAGAAATGAGATTGTATTATGTATGTACAAATCAACTTTGTTCCCATAGGTGGACAGAATAAATTTAAAAAATTAACATTATAAGTATCTTTTTTAAAATAAAACTATGTAACTGTATATAAACTTAAATAAAATATATTTATATATATAAGAAAAATATATGACTGTATAATACGTTAATTATTCAATTTCTTCCTCAATTCCCCTTTCTCTTTAATTTCTTCAATTGTAACTTTCACAAAGAATGTTATAAAAGTTACACTTTGCCATGTATAATATAATCTTTTACATTTTTTTACATGTTTAATAAATATTGTAAAATCATGATTTTCTAATATTACATTGCTATATTTAAAATTATATTGTAAATAATAATAAAATGTAAACTTTAAATAATTCAAATTGACAAAGATTTTGGAGGTTAGTTTCAGAAAAGATTATAAATTATAAGAGACAAAGGAATGAAATTAATTATTTAAGCATGGAGTATGTAGTACCATTATAATATCAATAGAATAAAATACTAAATATTATAAAAGATGCCAACATTTAAACAATGAAACAGTTGGTAATACAAATATCAATTAAAAATACAAAATTTAATTTAAACACAAACATATTGCATAATAACGTTATTAAATATTCAAAGAAAAAAACATATATATATTTTTAATATATATATATATTTATAATAATATATTTATAAAATATATTTTCAATATAAATAAAAGCATTAGTGTGAAAATAAATAAATTATTGTGATGATTTATTGCATTAGAAATAAAAGTATTGTTAGTAACAACAGTGTTCTGCATAATTCAGGTCTAACAACATTAGATTGTTAAATAGAGGCAAATAATTTGAATGAAATATTAGTGATATATAATAAATAATTTCATGGTGAATGGTTTGCTAACATGAACTAAAAGCATTATTTAGTAATTTGTTACGTTTTCATTTATACATATATGTATATGTAATACAAAAAAATTAATGTTCCATTAAAATAATAATACTTATCTTGACAACTGACGACATTTTTGACTCAGCATATTTTATACAAATACATATATATATATATGTATATATATATATATATCTATATACATGCATGTACATATACTTTTATATATATATATATATATATATTCATAGTATGAAAAACTAATACCAGATAGCAGTAGTATAGCCTATATCATAGATTCACACAGAAAGTAGATTCTAATCTTCATTAAAAACTGGTTTGCTTGCGATGGTGGGTGGTATCGATGACGAGGAATTTGATCAAGCAGAAGTAGATGTAACTGAAATAATGGATAATAATCAGCAAAATGGTGATTTAGTTTCAACCGAATTGAATAACGAAGAGAGAGATGTACGTTCACAGCTTGTATTATAAATCATTGTATTTTGATGACGCCATTGACAATAGGAGACACTTATCATCATCAACAAATTTATTTAGAATGACAAACATTTTTTTATTTCTTTTTTTCTGTTTTTTTTTTTTTTTTTTTTAAATGTAACATTAATTTTGAAATTATATTAAACAAGGAAATATATTATTTCATTAATATTAAATTATAATTTTCATTTATTTGATCATGTTAATGTAATAGTTATGAAATCTTACTTTTTTTTTTGCTTCATATTCACACACACACATATATACACGTATATACATGTCACATATACATAGTATGTGAAGATAAAAGCAACGTAATTGAAATTGTATCTTTTTTTACAGGTTAATGCAGAGGTAGATGAACAAAGAAAGAAATATCAACCAACCCATTTAGAATCCTTCTTTGCAATAACAAAATCATTAATAATTAGAGCACTGATTATTTATTTCATCAGTTCTTTATTTAGACGTCCACAAACGGATAATACACAGATAACAAACAGTGGCAATAATGTTCCAAAATTACATGCAATAAATATATTTAAAAATTGGACATTATTTGATCTGCACGTTTATTTATCAGAAGATGAAGATTTTCAAAAATTTGATGACCCAAATGCTTTGATATGGTTTGAACAAGGATTGATTTATGGTGATTGGTTTAGTGGTACAGATAATGATGGTTCTAGAACACTCAGTACACATTTTACTCCATCTAATAAATTATTAAATAATGGTACCATTTATCTTCACGTATATGTCACCAAAACTGGCAAATCACCTAATCCTAAAGCTGGCAAAAATGCATTTGCTGGTGAACAAATGTCTTATGGTAAAAAAATGTTGGTTAAATTTAAAAAAATTCGATACCAAAAGAAACACAATTTGTTAACCGGTGAAACGACTGCTACGCAAGAACAATTACAAGTAAATATAATTAGAATTGATATTATTTCATTATAATAAATAATATTATTAGCATGGTATGTTTAACTTTTGAATATTAATATCTTTGATAGAAAGCTGAGATAATGAATCAAGAATACATTTCTCATTGGCATCCAAATTTAACAATTAATTTGGTAACTGATCAAACTAATTGGATGGCTGGACAAGTACCACAACCTTTGGATGAACGTGAGTAATATTTCATTTTCAATTCATTTAAAAACACTAATATGAAATTAATTTTATTAATAATAATATTATTATTATTGTTATGTAGATATAAGTTTCCTACCAGGAGAATCATATTATAGACCAGTTATATTCATGAATGATTTTTGGAATATGCAACGTGATTATCAACCATTAAACAATACTGTTAAAGAATTAGAACTCAGATTGGTATATCAACCACTTTCATTATTCAAATGGCAAATCTATGTGGCACAATCTATGAGAAACAAATGGACATCGTTTATGGGTATGCAATAATAATTAAAATAAAAAAAAACATGATTTTAAATGTACTTCATTAAATCTAATCTCAATTTCAAATGTTTCATTTATTTAGGTGACATGTCTGACGAGGATGACACTGATCAAGATACTTTGAAAGAAACTTTATTAGAAACGAATATTTATTTACTTGGATTGACTATAGTTGTATCAATTTTACATAGTGTATTTGAATTTTTAGCATTTAAAAATGGTAAGTTAATATCAATTTATAAATTATAACATATTATATATTTGAATTATGATTTTCATTAATATTGACTTTATTTATTTTTTAGATATTCAATTTTGGAATAATCGTAAATCTTTGGAAGGTTTATCAGTACGTTCTGTCTTTTTCAATGTATTTCAATCACTTGTTATTCTACTATACGTATTAGATAATGAAACTAATACAGTAGTACGAATTAGTTGTGCTATAGGTTTGTGCATCGAAGTATGGAAAATTAACAAAGTCGTTGATATTACTGTCGACAGACAGTCGAAAATGTTAAACGTCTTTCCAAAAATATCATTTCACGATAAAGGTTCATACGTGGAATCTTCCACTAAGGAATATGATAGACTTGCATTTAAATATCTATCATGGGCTCTTTATCCACTATTAGGTGGTTACGCTATTTATTCTTTAATGTATTTAGAACATAAGGGATGGTATTCGTGGATATTGAACATGTTATACGGATTTTTATTAACATTTGGATTTATCATGATGACACCGCAATTATTCATTAATTATAAACTCAAAAGTGTAGCACATCTTCCTTGGCGCATGATGTCATATAAATTTCTTAATACTTTTATCGACGACATATTTGCATTTGTTATTAAAATGCCAACGTTATATAGAATTGGTTGCTTCCGGGATGATATTGTTTTCTTCATATTTTTATATCAAAGATGGATATATAAGACTGATCATACGCGAGTTAACGAATTTGGTTTTTCCGGTGAAATGGAAGCACAATTAGTTCAAGATAAAAAACAACGTTCTGTCAAGGATCGTACTAAAGATGAATTATTAAGTAAAAAAGATAAATAATGCTTGATTTAATTATTAGTACGAAAATATGTTATATTATATAAGTTAATTATCAATTGAAACAAAAAACAAAACAAACAAATTTAACTAGTAATCCATGTATATATATATAAACAAAAAAAGAACACACACACACAACAAACAATAATACACACACATTAATGTATCTAAATGAAAAAAACAAAAAAAAAAAAAAAGAAAAGGATAAATACATTTTTGTGTGGTATAATAATAATATTCAATTAGTTTCCAAAATTTAGACAAATTGTGCAGATGCATCCGCAAATTTCAAACAAAATTCAAATTTATTATTATTATTATTATTTAAATTTAACATCGGTTTGGTATATTTATTCAAACAAAATAAGGCCAATATTTTCATACATTTGTAAAAAGAAAAGCAAAACAAAACAAAACAAAACACTTTCTTTTTTGTTTACTCGTTGAAATAATAAATGGATACTTTTTAATTATCTGTACACTGTGGAGCTATGCATAATATAAAAGAAAAAAGTTTATATTGCAATAAAAAAAAAAAAAGAAAAAAAAGGAAACATTTTTATATCGTTAACTTATTATTCGTCAGGACTATTTCTATAGTCTAATATTTTTGTTTTTTTTCTAAATAACAATATAATATTATTTTTATGATATCCCCCTACACTTCTTACAACTTTATAATAATGCATAATATATTTTTTATTATTATTATTATTATTATTATTATTGTTTTTTTGCTTTTTAAATATATTTATACATCAGTGTTGTGTTATTAAATACTTTTTACATAGATGTAAGAAGTGTAGGGTTTATACAATAAATATATTTTCTAATTAACTGGTTCAATTATTTTCTAGGGCTATTACTTAAGAAAAGAATAAACAAAACAATTTGATGTTTTATTTTGTAAATGTCATATCTCCACAAGGATACATGCAAGTAATGTGCATAAACAAACAAACACACAGAAAATAAAACTTATATATATATATATATATATAATAATATATAACTTCTTCATATTTGAGAAAAAAATATGTATTTCTACAATAGAATATATATTTAACTAATAATTTCTTAACCATTTATATACAAATATATTGTACTATAGTTGTGAAAAAAAAAAAAAAAGAACTAAAACATTCAGTATTTGATAAATGAGCGTGTTGTGTTGAATATTAAAATTTGTTAAAAACAATGAGAACGGTCTTAAAAGTTTCTATTATAATTGTCTTTAATAAATTTAAAACACATGATATATAAAACATTCAGTATTTGATAAATGAGCGTGTTGTGTTTGATATTAAAATTTGTTAAAAACACTGAGAACGGTCTTAGAAGTTTCTATTATAATTGTCTTTAATAAATTCAAATCTATGATATGTACTTTTATTTTTTTTTTGTTGCTTCTATGATTACCTTTCTAAATAATTGCAAAAGAAAAATGATTCATTGTAATTGTTCAATTAAATCATTTCTTGTAATACATCTTCTATACATACTTCTATGGTTCCTTTATAGATAATTGTACAAGAAAATGATTCATATTGTATAATTGTTCAATTAAATCATTTCTTGTAATACATATTAAAAGTATTTATATTTTTCTTATAAAAATCAAACAATTGTACGTGATTTTATTATATTTTATTATGTATTGTAAAATGATGAAATTTATAGAAGTATTAATTGAAAACTATGGAATACATAAAACGAAATAAAACTATTTTTTGTATTCAATGCAATAATACATGTTATTATGAGTAAACAAAAACAAAAATATATCAATTTACATTGTAAATGTGACAAATAGTGTAATAGATCAAAATAATAAAATTCAATTATATCATAACAATTTATCATTGCACCATAATATATATGATTTAAAATTATATAAAGTGCAATCATGTTTATGTGTAAAATACTTTTATGTAATGCAATAATGCATTTATCTATGTCATGTTGTTTTATTATATATAATAGCATGCACATAGATAACATGTTTTATTCATACTAACATACATTAGTATACAAGATCAATTATTCTTCAGTTTTTTATTAAACATCATTTTATTTAATTGCATTTTATCTAATCACACATCTTTAAAGGTAAGCATAGAAAAATTGAAACAAAATTTTATATATATATGTATATACACAGTACAATCTTACTAATCTGGCACTATTAAAAACCAGAGGGTGCCGGATTATTGGAATGTTCGGATTACTGGATTATAGAGAAAAAATCATAATAAATAAAATAAAGCATTTCATAAAGAGAATATAATGTATGTATGTATGTATATATTTGTGTTCTAGTTTGACAGGTTTTATTGTAACCTGTAACATATCTCAAAATTGCACGTGATAAGTTTTGAGGTTAGACTGCTAGACGACACGCGGCAACAGAGCGCATTGGCGAAGAGGGGAGTAGAGGGGCGAAGGTGGCGCGGGCGGGAGGTGCCGGATTATTGGACGTATCGGTCTATCGAAGTGCCGGATTAGTGGGATTATACTGTATATATATATAAAAATAAATAAAGAAAGAACCTAGTATTGATGGTATATTAAATATAGCACACATTGACAAATGAAATTAATAAAAAAAGCAAGTTTTATAAAAATACCTGCACAAAACACAAATGGAATGAAATAATAAAAGATTTCTTTTTATCCTAACCTATAATAAAATAATTTTATAATATCAACTATTTTTCAAAATAAACTCAACACGTCAGTCCTATGAACAAAAACATACTAACTCTATTACTAGTATGTCTAACAATAACATAACCTATATAACATAACACTGATATACAAGCGTAAACATTTGTTTATTTTATATAATTTAAAGAGCTATTAAAATACGCCATTTTTTACTCCATATTTTTAAGGTTAACCAACTTCACGAAAATAAAATCATTTTTTTGTTCTATAACACTTTTGGTTACTTTTTAGTGATTTCGTTGCACTATACTGACGTTTAAATTTGTAGTTCATATTATGTCCGTACGTGGCGCTGTAATAAAACACGTTTTGAACGAAAATCGGTGAAATAACTTGAAAGAATTATTTATTCTTCGTGTACTTTTATAAACCGTGTAAAATTATAATATACATTTTGTTTTTGAAAATATCATTAAACGAATAAGTGAAACGTTTCACGTGATTCGATTATCGATTGGTTACTGATATATATATATTCTTATAAAATAAATCGTTCATAACCTATAAATCATAATAAATCTAGTCGAGATAAGAAAATTAAAATATTATCTGTAATAACCGGGAGAAAAAATAGTGTGATATATATATATAAATAAATAAAAAGAAGTGTTGTAATGAATTATAACGTGTTAATTAATTACACACAGTGATAATAAATTTACTTTGTAATTTTTCGACGTTAAAGAGAAAAGACCAAAAACGAAAAAAAAAATAGAAATACAACATTATATATATACATACATATATAATATTTCAAATTAACGTCAAAAAAAAAAAAAGAAGCATGTATGTGACATGATCGTTATGATCACATGATTGTCTTATTTAAATACAAAATATTTTATCGAATTGAATTAAATTAAATTTTATATCATTCTTAATTTTGAAAATAATTTAAATTTAAGTAAATCATATATATATATATATATGTATATATATATATAAAGAGGGAGAGAATATTGAAATGAGTTCTCAACAAAGCCCAGCAGCATTGCAATCAAGCGTCGATCGTGAAAAAGTTTACACGTGGATCATTGAACTGTCAAATCCAGAAACACGAGAAAATGCACTATTGGAATTAAGTAAAAAACGTGAAGTTGTACCAGACTTAGCTCCAATGTTATGGCATTCTTTTGGCACAACTGCATCACTTTTACAAGAAATTATTAATATTTATCCAGCAATCAATCCAGCAACATTAACTGCATATCAAAGTAATCGTGTATGTAATGCACTTGCACTGTTACAATGTGTTGCAAGTCATCCGGATACAAGATCTGCATTTCTTCAAGTATACTTCTTTCTATATATATATATATATATATATATATATAAATGTAATTTTAATAATAAATACATTATACAATAAAATTTCAATTTACAGGCACACGTTCCATTGTTTCTGTATCCATTCTTGCATACAGTAAGCAAAACAAGACCATTTGAGTATCTCAGATTAACAAGCTTGGGTGTGATAGGTGCATTGGTTAAAACTGATGAACAAGAAGTCATAACATTTTTATTGACCACTGAAATAATACCACTTTGTTTGAGAATCATGGAAAGTGGTTCAGAGTTGAGCAAAACTGTTGCCACATTTATCCTACAAAAGATTTTATTGGACGACAGCGGTCTTTCTTACATATGTCAAACCTATGATAGATTTAGTCATGTTGCTATGATATTAGGAAAAATGGTTTTGTCATTGGCTAAAGATCCTTCAGCAAGATTATTGAAACACGTTGTCAGATGTTATTTAAGACTCTCCGATAATCCTAGGTAACATTTAATTATCCTTTTGTATTTTTTTAAAGTAATATTTCACATGTATTAAATGTTTGTTTTATTTGCAGAGCTTTATTAGCATTAAGACAATGTTTACCAGATCAACTAAGAGACAATACCTTTGCAACTTGTTTACAAGAAGATGCGTCAACCAAACACTGGTTAAATCAACTTCTCAAGAATTTAGAAACTGGTCCTCAACCAGTTCCACCAACTCAACCTGGTCAACAGGATCCTAGGACTATTGGCATGTCACCGCTTACTTCTTAGATCTTACCTATATTTTATTATTGATATGATAATTCATATTTTTCTAAGAAAAAAAAAGAACTAAACAAAAAAAAAACAAACAAACAAACTTCAGAGCTTTTGCAGCTCTATTTGTGGTATTAAAAACTTTCTCGTTTTTAATCAGGATACATATTATTATTATTATTATTATTATTATTTTTTTTTTGTGATACGAGAAAGATTATATTATTCTTTATATGTTTCTGACCTCTCATGAATGACGTTTTGTGTTAATACATTTTTTTGTTTTATTTTTTCAAAAAAAAAAAAAGAAAAAAAGAAAAGAAAAAAAAATGTCTTCATACGTTAGCCGATTGATTATTTTGCATCGATAATTCTATATTCAAAAATGAAATAATAAGATGATAAGTAATAAGTAGATATAATTTAATATGAATTTTCTTCAAATTGTCATATTGCAATAAAAATATTCAAATGCGTATATGTAATTATACGTGTATACCATGTATATGTGTGCATTTAGCATATCAATATAAAAAAAAAAAAAAAAAAAAACAAACAAACAAAATGATGTACTCGCAGGAAATATGAAATTGTTTTGTGATTTACAAATCCTGCTAATGATATTTGTATAGCAATTGTAGTATTTTTAAACTTGTAATGAATGATACGAGAAAGGTTGAAAATCATCGAAACTTTAACTGCATATTTTGAAATAATAATAATAAAAACAAAAAAAAACAAAAAAAAAACACATTGTACAGTATGTGAGAATTATAATAATCATTAAAATATGATCTGTGTATATGATATAATAGCAACTATATAGCATAAATCATTGTACATATATATCTATATATATATATATATACATACTTGTACTGACACAAATTTATTGAAACGATTAAGCATCTTCTTGAACCCTTTCGCTACGCTACGGGCATATTTTCCTACTTCTACTGTACGGGCAGCTAATACGTGCAGCACCATCGAAATTCACTTTATTTTTAAGTAATTTTGTTGTTGGTATTTAACGATTTTTAATACGTTGGCTGCTGTGGGGGTCACCGGTGACCGGTACTCCGACTTGGCTACAGCGCCGTGGGGGGGCCAGCCACCAGTGACCGGCACTCCGATTTGGCTACAGCGCCGTGGGGAGGGGGGCCGGCCACCAGTGACCGGCACTCCGATTTGGCTACAGCGCCGTGGGGGCCAACCACCAGGGACCGTAGACGCATAATGAAAAATTCATGTTGGCGCCTTGGGCAAGTTACGTAAAATTTGCATGGCAGTCAACGTGTTTTAATCCAAAGAAACAAAACACTAAAATTACACGTCCAATTTGGGATATTTGACTTAGTGCTATAACTGCATATGTTCGTCGTATGTAAAATACGCGGTTATTTTATAGAGGGCCACTATAGTGGCTCGTAGTATCTCAGTGGAATCTTATGGAGGGCTACTATAGTGGCCCGTAGTATCTCAGTGGAATCTTATGGAGACGGCCACTATAGTGGTCCGTAGTAGCAAAAGGGTTAATATAGTCTTAATAACATTTTCGTACTATTATTATTATTATTATTAATAATAACAATGAATAATGTAAAATTGAAAAAGCACTTAGCAACATTTTATGGCACGCACATTTATTAACAAAACAAAAAAACAAAAATAAGAAACGACAATAAGATTATCTTAATGAACGTTGTTTGACTGTTCGATGCATGGATGCAAGTATGCAAATAAAATAAAAGAAAATTTCTTTATATTTAAACAAAAAAAAGAAAAAAAAACAAGATATTGAAATAATTCATTAAAGAAAGAAATATATTAAGAAATCGGGATTTAAAAAAAAACAAAAAAAAAAAAACAAACAAACAGGAAACATCCTATTAATTTACTCGAAACGAATGAACGATTTAATCATTGCCTAATAATAATCTCTTATAGATTAATTGTTTAATCTTAACAAATATATATATATATAATGTAATAATTATTTTTTATATAATCATTTTAAAAAGGCGTCAGTCGACCATGATTTTTCTGAAATTTAAATAATTCCCATAAGAAAGAAAGAAAGAAAGAAAGAAAGTTTCTTTTTGTTGATAAACAAAAGATCTGTCACATCGACGAACTATATATATATATATATATATATATATATTTAAATAATATAATATTGTCTTTAGTGAGTGATAATTAACCCTTTGTACTTGAGTGGCGCCGAATAAGCGCCCGGCATCTGCCGAATTTAAATCTTTAAGTGATAAGTCGAACGGCGCTGATACGGCGCCCGGCTGGTTGTACAATGTGTACAATGTATGATAAGATATTTCTCTTAAAATATACTTCAAGATTATACTTAAAGGTTTGATAAGGTACTGTAAGGTTCACTCTGATCGTAATACACCTGTAAATAGGTGACAAGTAACATATTATTGTGATAAGTGTCCTGATAAATACCTAGAATTCATCTTGCATATTGTTTTACGAATAATCATACAAACAACTAATTACAGAGTATAATATTTTTCAAATTTTGAATGATATATATATATATATTATTTTACAATTACAATAAATAAATTGATGAAATTTGATTTGATTTGATTTGTTTGTTTGTTTGTTTATAAATGACTTTAAAGTATATGTCAAATGTTTTCATAATTTGCAAATGAAATTTGATATCATCTCGAGTACAAAGGGTTAAAATAAAAGTGGGGGAGGAAAATTAAATAATAAAATAAAATAATGAAAAAAGAGAGAGAGAGAGAGAGATAAACATTGCGATTAGTAAAAAATCACAGTCTGAACTTATAGTATTTACTTATTGTAATTTAGAATACAAGATATTCGTTAACATCCTGTTGACTGACGTACGTCTTTCCTTTCTGCACCTCTCCTTTTAAGTTCCATCTTGTTCTAAATGATTTCAAATAAACAGAAAATAAAACAACATTGTAATTTTTATATATACACAATAATACATATATATATAGATTAATGGGGGGGGGGGGTGTATAATACAGCACAACAACAACAAAAACAACAAATGGTTGAATGATTTCAATTCAGTTCATTTGAAAGTGAAATTTATTTTGATAAATATTTATGGCGATGTAATTTTTAAAATTTGCATTAATTTTAATTGTAATTTTAGTTAGTTTGTTTGTTTGTTTGTTTTTTTCCGTTTGAAATATAATAATGTAAATAATCTATGTAAAAATAGAAATATTAAAATTTAATACTCAATAATATTGATTTCATTTAAATGTGATTTTGTTTTTCATAATAATGTGAAATTAAAATGAAAAATATAATAAAAATAATTATGGTCATTGAAAATTAGTCAAATCAAGCTTTAAAAATAAAGTCTAACTTTTGAATTATTAAAAATACGTGTAAGAATGAGAGAGGGGGGGAGACTAAAGTAGTCAAATCAAGTTTTAAAAATAAGTCTAACTTTTGAATTATTAAAAACACCTGTAAGAATGGGGGAGGGGGGAGACTAAAATAGTCAAATCAAGTTTTAAAAATAAGTCTTACTTTGGAATTATTAAAAATATGTCTAAGGAATGGGGAAGGGGGGACTAAAGTAATCAAATCAAGTTTTAAAAATAAGTCTAACTTTTGAATTATTAAAAATACGTGTAAGAATGGGGGAGATGGGACTAAAGTAATCAAATCAAGTTTTAAAAATGTCTGATTTGGAATTATTAAAAATATGTGTAAGAATGGGGGTGGGGACGAAGGAATAAATAAATAAAATAAAAAATAAATATATATATAAATTTACATACCCTTTTTTTAGAAACTTTAGAACGTAATAAACCGTGTATTACAGGTGTATACAATTTGATATCACCCATTTTGTATTTATTCGGTCCAGTGATCCAAGATACAATAACTCCGATTAAAATTGATGTTAAAAATCCCACCCATGTGTACCATAAATAGGACATTCGATATAAAAAGAATGGTTGTTCTCTGCAAACATTTGTTGATCAAATAAAAAACGATAAATAATTATTTTTATTAAATAATTTTCAAAATTATACACAAGGTGTTTTGTAATTTGTCATACAAATTAACACAAGTTAATAAATTCAAACAATAACAATAATAAAAAAATAAAAATAATATATAAACATAATAAAAAACAAATAAACGAATAAACAATTAATAAAAAAAATTAACAACGTAGGTCAAAAAAAAAAATAAATAGAATTAATACAATTTGTTTTTCAAAAAAAAAAAAAAAATGTTTCCAAATTTTCCAAAATTTTTTTCTATTAAATATAAACACAAATTTATATTTAATTAATTTAATTAATTAATTTATTTAATTTAATATTAATTCGAATTAAATTTCAATTAGATGACAATTAGTTACAGGACACCATGTATATATCAATAAACTTGTATTTTTGTGTTTAAATGTAAAATTAATATTTAATGACCTGACTGAATTGTCAACGATAAACGTCATATTAGCTGCTGTCATTTTCAATGTGTCGATACATCCATCAATGGAAATTGGTTTTTCCGGGAAAATGATTTTACCATTTGAAATGGCAGCTTGGGTACCAAATGATATCCAAGCAACAAGATTTAAGCTGATAATACCACCTATTAATGCACCCTGTTTATATACACAATTAATTAATCAATTAAACTATTTAATTAATTATTAAATTATTTTATAGTATAATTAATAATAATTTATACAATAAATATTCAATATATGTATTTTTAAGTGCACCCATATTTTTTATGTGAAATTGTTATTGAAATTTTGTCAAATGAATCCTACAATTATTTTTGTTTTGTTTTTGTTTTCGAGACGATTGAATATTACAAAAATAAACGCGACAATAATAAAATAATATTAATAATAATTGAGAAAATATTTGGATTATTAATTAATTAACTTAAATATTTATTAAGGCATTAATTAACATATCTTCTATGTGAAATTGTTATTTACATTTTCTTATTTAAATCCCACAATATTTTTTTGTTTTGTTTTTTTTTTGTTATCACACACAAGACGAATAAATATTAAAAAATAAACGCGGTAATAATATTAATAATATTTTAGAAAATATTTAAATTAATGCACCCATCCTGTTTATATAAAATTAATAATCAATTAAGCTATTAAATAAATTATTCAATTATTTTATAATAAAATTAGTTTTGATGTATTTTTAAATACACACACAAAGCTATATGTGAAATTGTTATTTAAATTTTCTTATTTAAATCCCACAATATCTTTTTTTTTGTTTTTTTGTTATTGTTGTTATTATCAAGACGAATGAATATTAAAAAATAAACGCGATAATAAAATAATAATAATATTAATTGAGAAAATATTCAGACATTGTTCTTTTCTTTTTAAATGAATTTCTAAAAAGGAAATGAAATAAAATTTGTGTTAGGAAATTTCAAAATATTTCATTGTATTTTTATTTAATATTTTTGTGATGAGGAAGGGGGATTTTTTTGATGAGGAAGGGGATTTTTTTTGTTTGATATCAATGATAATAAAATAAGAAAGAAAATTTGTATCGAATAATTTTTTTGTTTTCTTCTCCATCGTATCGTTTTACTTTAACACGAATATTTCGCAGAATTTTTATAATTTAATATCAAAAAGAAAGGAAATAAAGAAAAAGTGTGAGATTCAATTTAAAATAAAATGTCCGAATATTTCTATGACTCTGACTGTATCTACAGGTTTCAAGTTGAGGGTTGGAGGTGGTGGGGGTAAGGGTGGTGGTGGTGGTGAGGGTGGTGGTGCTTTGGGCAAATGGTGCAAGCAAGGACTATTAGCATTTCAAATCGAATGAAAATGGATTTCTATAGATTTCGACGAAGCATCGGCTTTAAAATGCATTTGTCTTAAAAAAAAAGAAAAAGAAAGATAAAAAAAAAAGATAAGAGAGAGAAAATAAAGATGAGAGATAGTCAGATAGATAGATAATTCGATGTCAATAATAAGGTTTGGTGGATGGGTGTAAAATTGAGAAAAAAATTTCATCATTTTGTTCAATGATGAAAATGATCGATTAATATTTTATAACATTGAACAGAATTTTCTTTTATCTTTCTTTTATTATTTAAAGAAAAAAAAATTTCTAAAATCTTAATAGTTGTAAGTAGTATAAGTAGAAGTAATTTTAGATTCATTTTACTTTTACAATAGTGGTCATTGTACTTTATCGAGTTACTAAAATAAAGTAAAAGTTA